ATGGCCCATTAGCAAGGATTTGAGTCCCCACTGCGTGACGGTGTCACCTGGCCCTCTTCAGTGACCCTGTGGGAACGTGTGCTGGGGACCAGTTCGAGCACACCAACACTCCGGTGACAGCTACGGCTGTGAGGAATGAACTGCCCTTGGCTTCGGCCACAGGCGTCTCGTGTCTTCCACCAGCAGCCATGGAAACACCAGGCCACGCTGTCAGCCGCAAGCAGATCTCGGCCATCCCGGCTCGTGGCAGCCACATCTCTGCCCCGAGGCGTGGTGGGGGCTGGCTCGGTGGCTTGTCCCAGGCCCTGGGGAGGCTCCCTGGAGTGCGCCTGAGGCCTGGCGCAGGGTGCGGCGGTGCCTGGTCAGGTCAGCGTCCCCACCGCAGAGCCGAGCGGAGCTCCCAGTGCGTCCGGGGAGACCACACGCAGAGGGTCTCCGGGAAGGCTCGGCACAGCACGGCCGTGAGTGGCGCCACAGCCCGCCTGGTCTCACCACGGCGCAGGCCCCGCCCACCCCAGGTGACCAGCCCTCACGCACAGCACTTTGCCACCACGGGGCTTCCTCGCGCAAGCCTGTCTCATCTGGCTCCAACACGGTTCCAGAGGACAAGTTGAGACTCGGTGGCAACAGGAGGGAACCCGGCGCACTCCCTCCCGGCACCTGGCCTCCCAGGCCCCAGACGCTGTGTGCGGGGCCCACGCAGGATGGCCACCGGGAGGGTCCGTCTGCAGCGCTGACTGCCGCAGCCTGGGCTGGGGCTGGCCAGGAGGCACAGGGTGGGGCCTCCCACAGCCCCAGGTCTGAGTTTCCCACACTCGCGGGGAGGAGGAGGGGCCGGGCCCCATCGCGTGCACGGGGACTGACAGGGGCGAGGGAACGCTCACCCATGCACCCCCCACACAGGCTGCGCACACCCGCACGCACGCCAGCTCAGAGCGACACCCCACCTACCAGGACTCGGTCGAAGGCCGAGGGGGTCCCCCCTCTCTGCACGTGGCCCAGCACAGTCACACGCGTGTCGTAGCCCAGCCTCTGCACCACCAGCTGCTCAGGAGAGTCGAGAGTGGGTTGGGGGACTGCTGAGCCCCCCGCGGCCCTGCACAGGCCCCTTACCTGGTGCTAAGTCCCCTCACCATTCCGCCTAAGGGTGTTCAGGTGACAGTCGCAGGACCCCAGGCCAGCCCAGGCACCTTGCGCAGTGTCTATGTGCACGTGGGCGGGTGTGTGCATGCGCGTGAGCAGGGGTGTTTCCCGTGGTCTCCCCCTCTGCTCGGTCTCCACCTCCAGGGCGAGGGGAGGGGACGCACTGGCGGTGGGTGGACCAAGGCAGGGCACGGCGGGCCCAGGGCGGTGCTCCCTGCTGGAGCACAGGAGCCCAGGCTCGGGGGCAGATCCTGACACCAGGTGGGGGGCAGAGGTTACAGGAGGACGGCTCCTCACGCTATGAGCTGCTCGACTGCGAACATGGCGGGTCAGCGGGTGCCCATCCCTGAGGGCTGGCCCGGCCCGGGCCCTGTCACTGGGATGCTGCTGAGGCCTGGCCCTGGAGACAGCACGTCCCGCACGGAGGCTGAGGGCAGAGGGCAGGGCTCCCACCACGGAGGGCCGCCCCTGGGATGAGGTGGCACCTCTAGTGTGGGGTGAGCCCAGGGCAGGGCCTACCCAGGTCCAGCCCCGTGAGGCCTGGACACAGGAGTGTACACCCTGACCCAGCCCTCGCCCACGTGCCCTGGGCGCCCCCAGCCCACACTCACGTCCTTCACGTAGCTGGAGGAGATGGGCTTCCCGTTGCGGTCGATGGCGCCCTCAGCAATGATGATGATGTTCAGTCGGGACCCTCGGCTCCGAGTCTGGTCAGAGACACACCACAGGGCTCAGCTGCCAGGCCGGGGTCACCTGCCCTGGACACAGCCACCAGGTGCTGGGGGAGGTGGTGGGAGTGGAGGGCTGCCTGGAGGAGGTGGCGCTGCTGATGAGGCACCTCCAGTGCTGAGCCCAGGGCAGGGCCTACCCCGGTCCAGCCCGTGGGGCCTGGTGACACAGGAGTGTTTCCTGTCCAGACACAGGACACCCAGGAACTGGGCTGCAGGCGGGCAGGAGAGCGGGCACCTCCCTCCGGATACAAGCCGGGTGGCAGGTGAGGTGGAGGGTAACACCTGCTTGTTACAGGGGAAACTGAGGCTCTCATGGGACAGGCCCGAGTGCCTTACACAGAGCAGGAAAGAGCCGGGTGTGCCCCTTGTGCCCACCGTGCATCCAGGCTGCCTCCAGGAAGGCCCGAGCCCGATTCACAGCAGGTTAAGCCAGGGCCAAGGTCAGCCAGGCCGCCACCATCAGCCCGGTTCTGCCTGCTTATCGCAGCCCGGGCCCCCGGGCCAAGCACGGGCCTCGCAGGCTCAGGGCCTCTGGGCAGCCCTGCGCCTCACTGCACGGCGGAAGGTTCCAAAAGGCAGGTCATGACCCTCGGCCCCTCCCACCCCTGGCAGGGCCACACAGCTACAGGAAAGTGGAGCTGGTGTCTTGTCTGGCTGCACACGGGAGAGGGACGCTCCGCCAGCCCAGCTCCGCGGCTGCCCCCAGCCAGAGGGCCTGAGCCAGAGCCGCTGGGGGCCGCCGGGCTCCCTCTGCATCGTGGATTCCGTGGTGCCCCGTCCCCCCGAGCCCCGGCCTGGCTGAGGAGCCAACCTGTCCCAGTCGGAGGGTCTCAGGGTCCACAGGGCAAAGCGTCAGCCTGTTCTATGCCAGAGCCCCCCAACTCCAGCCCAAGGCACCCCCTCCCCCATCTCTCCGGGGGAGGCCTCTCCTGCCCTCTCCTGCCTCCAGGGTCCACCGTCCACTCTGGTGTGGCCACTTGTGAACACTTATCCTCCCAGCTTAAAACCCGCTGCCGGGGCCCCGGCTGCCCTAGGGGAGCACAGATCCTTTACGTGAGGGGCGAGCAGCCTGGCCCCTAGCCCGCCCCCCACCCTGAAGTCTGGGCCTGGCAGGGGCTGCTCCTCCTGCTGGGCCACTGCCCCGAGCCCTGGCCACTCGTCCTCACCAGGACACCACCGGCTCAGGCTCACGGCCACCACCCCAGGAAGCCAGCTTCACCGTGTTCCCCACATGGACCCCCCAGAGCTGAGCCCGGAAGAGGCCTGAGTGTCCCCCTCTGTCTCCTCTGCCCACCGGGGCAGGACCACAGGCGCCTCACATGGCAGCCCTGGAGCCCGCCCGCCACGGCCGTGTGCTGCCCAGGAACAGCGACCACCGCTGCCGCACCAGGGGGCCGTGGGTCAGCCACAGAATCCCGGGACACTTCCAACGTCCCCAAGACACCGCAGCTCACAGCAGGCCTCGGACGGCCACTCACCTCCCCGAGCCTCTCGCACATGAAGTTCTCCCAGCCGTCCTCGGGCGGCGCCTCGGGGATGAACAGCCAGTCGGCCCCCGAGGCCAGCGCAGACACCAGCGCCAGGTACCTGCGGAGCCAGGGGGCCGCCTGCTCAGGCCCCCGCCCCCTGCGAGGCCCGGCTCGGCCTGCTCCTTCCCCGTCCCTCCCTTGCCTCCAGCCCCAGGCCCTCACGCGCCACCACGCCGTCCCGCCGCAGTGGCCGGGCAGCCGCTCACCCGCAGTGCCGGCCCATCACCTCCAGCACGAAGGTCCTCTGGTGGCTGCGGAGACGGAACAGGGCGGCTCAGTGCCAAGGCTCCCACAGACTCCTGCTGCCATGTGGCTGCACCCGCCCTGCCCCAGGGACACAGTGGCCGGAGGCGCCAGCAGAGGACGGCCCCTCTCCTCACGCCCGGGCCTGCCCAGCCTCCGGGCCGGTGCCGAGTGATCTGCCCCGAGGGCGAGGGCCACGCAGGGACCCCAGGCCTGGCCGTCCTGGGCGCCCTGCAAGGCATGCTGCGGTGCAGCCTCGGCGGCCGGTAGCCGGCAGGTGGGGCTGAGCCCTCCGTGCGCCTCCCCAGCCGGGGGGAGAGGGCCGGGAAGCTGAGATGGAGTGACGCCGACGGCGCCACTGCCACCTGCGTCCACGCCCTTCAGAGTGGCCATCCTGCGGCCGGGCCCCGAGCTGGCCAGGCTGGCAGGGCCTCGCTCACCTCTGGGCGGTGGTGGTGATGGCGTCGATGACCTCCATGATGCGGTGCAGGGCCGAGTCCGTGCCGATGGTCATGTCGGTGCCGCAGAAGTCGTTGTCGATGGAGCCCACCAGCCCGGCGATGTTCAGGTGGGAGTAGGTCTCAGCCGTGGTCTCCGAGATCTTCCCTGGCAGGAACAGCGGGGAGGCCTGGCTGAGCCGCCACACGGGGCGAGAGATCTGCCCCCACCACCGGCCTGGGCTTTGGAGAACAGCCGCGGCCTCATCTCCGGGTCCCCCACATGAGTGGCACGGAACAAAGCTCCAAGAGGTCACTTTCTGAGCAGCAACTTCGGGACTTTGTCTCTCATGTTACCCGAATTTTAACGACATTTCTGCAAACTGGCACAGTCTGTACCCGCATCCAGAATGCCTCGGGCATCAGTTACAAACAGGACTTGTCCGCACGGCGTTGCGGGAGCCGGGAGGGGAGCTGTGCGGCAGCCCCAGCACAGCCTGGCCTCCCTGACGTGGGTCCCGTGAGCTCAGATGCAGCCTGCTCACCCCGACCACGCCTACGTCTGCCGGAGCCTCAGGCTCGCCCTGGCGAGGGCCCCTCTGGGCCAGTGGCAGGACAGCACCTCGTCTGCCCCAGGCACCCCGGGCTCCCGCCCCCCAGTCTTGCAGGGCTCTGGGGCCTCCCGCGCAGACCCACCTTCCCCCACCAGCTCCTCGAGCAGGCTGCCCCACTCGCTGCGGAAGATGTTGGCGCCCGTGAGGCTGCCGTCCCCACCGATGACGCACAGGTTGGTGATGCCACGCTGGACCAGGTTGTAGGCCGCCGCCAGGCGTCCCTCCCGCGTCATGAAGGCTTTGCAGCGGGCGCTGCCGATGACAGTGCCGCCCTGCATGGAGACGCCAGAGCCTTTGCACAGGATGACGGGGCAGAAGGCCGCTGGGCACCAGAGGGACCCCAGTGCTGGCAGCAAGGGGCTTGGTGGACCCCACAGAATCAGAGGGAGAAGTCCAGCTGTCCCCAAAACCGGGGAGGTGTCCCCACCTCCTGGGCCTTCCTCCTCCGATAGAGGATGAGGAGGGGACATCCACCACCAGGCCTGGGCAGTTCCAACACGGGAACAGAGCAGGAAGGCTGGGGAAGCTGTGAAGCACCACGCACACCCAGGCACACTCACACACGCATGCACATGCACGCACTCACACGCACACACACCCAGGCACACTCACACGCGCACACACGCACACACACCTAGGCACACTCACATGCATGCACACGCACACACGCATGCACATGCACGCACTCGCACACACACCTAGGCACACTCACTCATGCATGCAGACGCACACACCCAGGCACACTCACACACGCATGCACACTCACACACACACCTAGGCACACTCACACGCATGCACATGCACACAGCCAGGCACACACACGCACTCTAACACAGCCACGTACACACACGCCCACACACTAACACACACTCACATACACTAACACACACATGCCCATATGTACACACATTCCCATACATGCACACC